GAGGTCTGAGGTCCACCTCCTCTCAGCGGGGAGGTCCACCTCCTCTCAGCGGGGAGGTCCACCTCCTCTCAGCGGGGAGGTCCACCTCCTCTCAGCGGGGAGCAGGAGGTCTGAGGACCTCCAGGGCGCTGATGTCATCACTCCTTGCTTTCCTCATGGACGTTTTCTTCAGAGCCAAATGAGGCGTTTCTATCGGCAGCGACTGAACCTGAGCAGGAAGAACCTCCTTCAGCTTCTGATTGGCTCCACGTCTTCAGCAGCGTTCCCATGGAAACGCATAGAAAACTGGCTAAACATAAACACATCATTCTGACTTTTAGAGTCTATTTAAGGTCATTATCAGATGCAGTTATAAACCAAAACTTTACTTTATGACTTTAAAAATCTGTTCAGATCCAAATCATCACTTTATTCTCATAATTCAAGCTTTCAGTCATTTTACTGACTTCATAATTATCATCAAACATGTGACTTTTGCTTTTCTCTGGAGTGACACATCTGGGCTTCCATAGTTTTCCTGACCTGCTGACGGTCAGAGTTAGGAAGGGGGGGTGGGTCATGGCAGACCTTTATTTTGAAGTTTCCTGTAGCGTGAGGCGGGCTGTCGATGTTAGATCACCAAATGTGCACTTTTTCACGTTGATTGTTCTGTTTCATCACCGCCTCACAGCACAACCCTGACTGGCCACTGCTGCGATGATGTAACAGCTGCTGCTACTCCTGATTGGTCCTCAGCAAACCAGCTCAATAGGCAATGAAAAACCAAACATGTGCTGTTTTTATTTCCGTGGTGCTGCAGACCAACATCTGGTTCTTCTTTTATATTTGTCACAGATCAAAGCTCTCGTTTGTTTCTCATCTTTTCTGCTTCGTTCTGTTATTTCAATAAACCGACTTCATGAACTGTTGCTGAAGCACGATGGTTTTTTTAAGCTCAAGAAGAAAGAGATGGTTCTGTGGTACTGGGAACACTGGTCAGGAACCATTTAAAACACAGTGATTTAGTTTAGTTTTAAACACCAGATTAGAGGGTTTGTGTTCCAGATGTTCCACATGTGCAGGAAGACTTTATAAAAAGATCAATAGAACCAAATCCCACAGAAACAAACCGGTCTGGACCTGGACCTGGATGCCACCTGTTGTGGACAGGAGACAAAATAATAATCCAGGGATTATCGACTTAATGAAGGCATGTGGAGATTATTAATCCAGAGGATTATTGATTTAATGAAGGCATGTGGAGATTAATAATCCAGA